ACTTCACTGATTACAAATGTCCTTATCTTCCTTCCTTTTCTGCTTCATGGACATTCCCAGTTTCACCATATTCTCATGCACTCTGTTAGCATCTGTGTCTGCACTGGAGAGCTACTGGTCCAGTCCCGGTAGATTACCCCAACTAGAGAGATGCATGGTTCCATAGGGGCCTGGTTTTCGATTAGGGAATTATATTTAACATATTCATTAAGGTATATTGTTCCAATCCCAGAAGCACTTTTACATTATTTAATACTGTGGTCATGGATAGTTCTGGTAACTCCAGGAATAGAACTGCCACCCCCTCACAGAAAAAGGATTGTTTGACACTTTTTATTAACTCCAGCCTTTGTTCTGTGGAGATGACAGCCAGTTACCTACATTGGCATGACTGGTAGGAAAGTAGGTAGCAAGTGCAGCTGACAGCATCTTGAAAGTCTGCAATGCTAAATCAGCACCACTACCACGTGCCTTCTCAATGAGGACGGGATGTAGAGGTAAAGTCGTGACAGTATGTTCCAAGGTGTCCCCGTGGTTCTTCCAGCTTGCTCTGCCAATGTTTCATCTCAGGTTATTAGTATTTATAAAAGCAGGTCCTTAAAATAGCTTTATGGTGTTAATAGAAGCAAAAATAGCGGTTCTTAACTCATTCATACTGGGGTAAAATAGGGCTAAATTGGGCAAGTACAGAAATCATAATAGCACAACCCAGTTTAAGGGTGACTTTCAAATCTGCTTCAGGTCTTAAAAAGCACAGATTTTAAGCTAAAATCAGACCAGGACACACTCCTTCCTTATTCACAGAAAATGCTTCTCCCTTTAACAGATGTAAGATTTGGGGTGACTTTGGCTTAAAGGCTAAAATCTGTTCGCTGAGTCTTCCACTCGCAAATGGAGCAACCACAGACTTCTCCAGCTTCTGAAAAACACATTATTTGGGAAAAATCATTCAGATTTGCAACTGACATTTGTAAAACAGACCAGTGTATTCTATTGTTTTGAGTTGACTCTGGCTAGACAGCAGGTGCCCACCAAAGCCATTCTGACACTTCCCTTCTCAGCTGGACAGGAACAGGAGAGAAAATACAATGAAAGGCTCATGGGTGGAGATAAGAACAAGGAGAGATCACTTAACAATTACCATCAAGAGCCAAACACACTTCACTTAGGGAAATTAGTTTATCGCCAATCAAATCAGAATAGGGTAATGAGAAAATAAAACCTAAACCTTAAAACAACTTCCCACTATCCCTCCCTTCTTAACTTCATTCTCAATTTTCTCTGTCTCCTCCCCTCAAGTGGCACAGGTGGACAGCAATGGGGGCTGTGGTTAGTTCATCACACATTGTCTCTGCTGCTCCTTCCTACTCATGGGGAGGACTCCTCACACTCTTCCCCTGCTCCAGCATGGAGTCCCTCCCATGGGAGACAGTTCTCCATGAACTTCTCTGGCATGAGTCCTTCCCATGGCCTGCAGTTCTCCACAAACTGCTCCAATCTGGGTCCCTCCTATGGGGGGCAGTCTTCCAGGAACAGGCTTCTCCAGCATGGGTCAACCATGGGGTCACAAGTCCTACCAGCAAACCTTCTCCAGCGTAGGCTACTCTCTCCACGGGTCCACAGTTCCTGCTAGGAACCTGCTCCATGCAGGATCCCCATGGAGTCACAGCGCATCCTCCTGCTCCAGCATGGGGTCCTCCACAGGCTGAAGGAGCACAGCTGCCTAATCATGGTCTGCACCACAGGCTGTAGGATATTCTCTGCTCCTGCTCCTGGAACACCTCCTCCCCTTCCTTCTCCACCAACCTGGGTGTCTGTAGAGTGGTTTCTCTCACAGATTCCAAGTCTACTCTTCAGCTGCAGTTCTAGAGAGAACTCTCCTATAAAATATGGAGAGGAGAGCATGAGGGGGCATTGCATTTACTTTTCTTACCAAAGTATTTCTTAAATAGGCATAGCAGTCTGCATGAGTCTACTCTAGGGGCAGTGGATCAATGACTACCTGTCACCAAAATTAATGAATTATTTATTAGCAGTTCTTCTCTAGACAGTGGAATAATGTGTTGATAATATTTCACTGAGAAATCCACTTTTTTTTTTCCAAATTGGCTATAGGTCTGTAGGTATCCTCTGTGATTATTTTCAGAAGGGCCACAGACAATATTTGAAGTAACATACTGCATGTTCTAGGACAAGACAAGGAAACACAACAGTATGTACAAATTTGAACCTCACTTGACACTGGAGTCGGTCTCAATCACATCAGTGAAGTGTAAGGAAAGCTCTGGAGAAAGAAGAGGAAAATGAGTTACTTTATCATGCTGTGGCATAAAAAAAAGTTTTAAAATTTGATAATCTGAAATACTTTATCATCAGGGTTTTGAGACTGATATTTTTGCTGTAGTAAACTACTAATTTTCTGAAGTGACCAAATGATATTCTTTTTAAATAGGCTGATTTCTTATTTTCAGTACTTACAAATTTCTTAGAACTGTTTTCCTTTCAAGAAAGGAAACAACACAGTAACAGAATAGGGAGCTTTTCCCATTTTGTTTTCTTTTAAATTTGCAGTTGCTTTAGACAAACATGTTTGTCTGTTTTGCTGATTTCTGATTTTCCAATGCAAAAACAATATCCCATGTAAACTGCAGAGGCTGACAAATTAATTTTTGTGTTTTAATATCAGGCATATAAATCTTACCATTACTAATTATTTTTCGACCTTGCATATGAGAATAGGATTAGACTGACTAAAACTGACACTGATTATCTGAGACAGGATGTTATTAAATCCCTTTGGGGAGCTTTTGAAAGATCCACAACATTTAGAGCAGAGAGCTTTTCTCTGTATTAGCTCATTTATGGAGCAATTACATGGGACTTACTACCAAAAAGATGTCAGAAAGAACACTGAAAAAACAGCTAAAGTGGAATTTACACTCCTCCCATCTCTGTCAGAACATCTCACAATCTCACAGCCTTAAAATATTTTGTCAAGGTTATCTATAGCAAAGCTATTTGCTATATATCAGTTAAAGGTATGAGATAGGTTAGATTAACACTACATGGAGAAGAACTGGTAATGGATCTGAAGTCAGCAGATATTTATCCCTGTTCAAACAGCTTGTTTGCACCAAGAACCCAAATTTAATTAATTTTGCAGGCTTGAAAAGTCTAATGTTTTCATTTAAGCCATCTCAGAATTTGCAAGTTTAGTTGTTTCACCAGAAGACTCCTATGGAGGTTTTCTCAGTGAAGTGCAGGAAAACATGCAAAATGCACTGATTTGAAAAATCTCCACTCATTCTGGAAAAATCTGTGACTGAATTCCCAGATTTTTTAATTTTTTTTCAAAATTAAGATTTCACAAATGACTTTTAGGAGAAGTTTACAATTTTGTACTGAAAAGTATGCAGATACAAAATGAAAAGCCAAGTAAAGACCATTTCAGAAACGCTGTTCCTACAATGGGCTGTTTTCCTTACACCCATAACTGAGAATAAAAATACATAGTGAAGTACTGCAGTACTGCAGAACTGTGTGCATTAAATATGTACACACCTATTGATTATGAGATTTGCAGTTTGGGAACATCAGAAAAGCTGTGAGAGATGCATAATCCAAAGTAATAGTGACTTTTTGCTGAAGAACCAACAACATCGAGGTGTTAGAATCCATAGATTTATTCTCAATTCCACTCTGATTTTAAAGCTGATATTGATGTAAATTCATGTGATGGCAACACTTAAAACTTGGGGCCTCACATTTTTTCTGTCTTCCCTGGGTGTCTTCACATACTTAATCCAAGTCCATTACGAAAAAAGTTAAAAGATACTTAAGTGATCCTTAAGAACAACTCAGTGGTACAACTAAAGTAACATGCAGGGTTATCCTTTCCAATAAACACTGCTCTTCTGCTCTCTGTAGCACAGTTATTGCTCCTGAAATGTGTCCTATATATAAAGATCTGTACGTGACCAGAAGGTTCCTACTTTTCAGTACCCACTGGTAATTGATGGTGAATACTAGAAGATAGGATTTTCTGCATGTGTAGTGATCACTGACCAGAGGGAAAGCTTATGCAAAAATTCTGGTTCATAAATATGTATATACTTGAGTGAGGAAAAACTGATTTTTTTATTGAGTTTGCCCTTCCAGGCATGTTATGTGGCATTTCTGATATTGCAAAGGAATACAGCAATACAGTATGAGGTATTCTGTATGTCCAAACATTGTAGTCCTTACTCAGATTTTACTCAGGAAAAACAACCTTTCACTTCAGTAAGAATTTGCTTCACTAAGGATTAAACAGACTGTTTTGAATCTTACCAGCATTGCTTGACGCTAATATTGGACAACAGTTCTCATTGCTAATTTGCCTGCCTCACTGGCCTTCTCCTGGGCTCAGGATCTGCTTTTGCTGTGTGTTATTCATAGCTTCTATTGCTAGTTCAGATTGCGTCTCTTTGTGCTTTTCATTCCCAGCAAATATTTTGTAGCTATTGTTCTGCTGATGGTAGATGAGCATGGAACCTGGTATGCAGAACTTGAACCTCAGCCCAGATTCAATTAACACTGTTAAACATTTTCTCACTATGGTGCTCAGAAGGAATTTTGATGACCCTCTTTCAAGGAAGCACAAATTTGTTTAAGCTGACGTTTTTACAATGCAAAAATATAAGAGCTTGATTCACAAATCTTAAGGCCAAATGCTTCTCCAGTAAAATAGATGGAGTAGCACTCATTTACAGCCATCATAAGGTCAATTGTAAATGCTTATTCTGACCTACAGTAGTCATACAAGAAAGTTACTAAATGTGTGTGCTGTAGCATCACTTTGTTTTGTAGTTTTAATACTGCTTTAAAGTAAGATATCCTGAATAATAATTAGTACCAAATTATGCCATAGCCTACTAATATGCAGCAAATCTAGCTAGGTTATCACTCGTATGTCTTATGAGCCATACCTAGCCATGGTTTATCCTCTATTCATGCTACAGGGTACGAAATTCCTGGGTGCCAACCTGCCTATGGCAACCTAGAATTCTCCAGGGCAGGCTCGCAAAATCTTCACCTACTCTCTGGGACAGGTAACTAATAAGTGATGTTTTGTGAAGTTATGCTTTCTTTCTAACTTTCTGATGTCCATAAAAATGTTCCATTTCTTCATGTCAGTCTGTAGTCTCTCATTGTTCAGTTCCACCATGTTTTCTGAACTAGGGGATTAACAGCAGATCTGTTTACTATAGTACTCTAGATGCTTGCCTCATCCAAGCCTGTAATAATTGTAATAACTTGCATAATTGTAATAACTTGCATAAAAACTGAAAGTTGTTTAAGAAGCTGCAAAATCCACAGCTGCCTTCTACCAGTTAATCTTTTTTTCTGATGGAGTGGTTCTGACAATACTGATGCATTGCATTTTACTGTTGATACCACAGTTATCTGGGCAGCTCACCGAACTTTCTTAATTGCTGGTATGTATATATTCTCTCTCCTTTATCAGGTTTTCATTAATCTTAGGTCTCCTGAAGTAAGGATTTTCTCAATGCTATAGGTACAGAATGTTGAAAGGCTGGGGGAGTTATTACTGATTCTAGTTTACATTCCTTTGCAGCATGTAATATAAGTTTAAGTAATGACTCATTTTTCCATATTTTGCTTAGATTCTCTTCTACTTTTCTCCTGAATATACTCTCTGTTCTTTTTTGCTTGACTTTATTTCAAGTGGCAGTTATGTAGAAGAAATGTCATTCACTAATCCTAAGGCTTTCAATGACATATGAAATATTGTAATATACGTCAAAGTAAGAAAGTAATTAGGTAAAAAAAATAAAGACAGACTAAGCTTTAGATTGGTTCTTGCAGTCTATTGATTTTCTCTGAATAATGTGTGTGAATTTTCATCTTAAGAGTGCTGTTAGTGTAGGAAAGACATAAACGACTTTTTTTGGTATTTTTTCACACAGTCTGTGAGTGAAAAAAATAGCAATCTTGGAAAAATGGTTTGAATTCCTCTTTTCAGTCCCCCAGGGTTCTGCACATGCTCTCTACTCTTACCTGGGTTTAGATGAGCCTGATGCAAAAATAGCTTTGCTCTGCTGCTTGTCCTGGCTAAAATCAAGAGATGACTAGTGAAGTGAAATATAATCCAGGCATATAAAACTCTTTTACAAAATGTTTGACCTGATTCCAACTTGATTGAATATTTGGCAGTCTTTTAATATCAGAACAAATTCACACAGCCACAGTGTAATCACTGAGTTTGATCTCACATGCTGTTTTTAAATGGATGCCCACAGCAAAGTTCAGTCTTGGAACGATGTTTAGTCGTCTTTTTGTAGGGCTTGCCAAAAAAATACCCTCATTTCCTATGCTTGTAGTTCTTACTTCCAAAATAAAAAACCTTACTCTTGTGGAGGACAATACCACAGTTTATCTCCAAGGATACTACAGCCCAAAATGCACAAATCCAGGATTTTAGCTCAGGCTATTTAGCCATTTAATAAAAAAAAAGTAAAAATAAACAGCCATTGAAAGATAATTTTCATTTCCCTCCTTGCTTTCTAAAAAGCACAAAAGAGTCCAAATTTTTAGGGAAATTTTAGTATTTCCTGAAAGCTTGCTTCTTTCTTTCCTGTTGATTAAGTCAGACCTTAATCACATTGTTTCAACACATCTAGACTTTAAAAATTGATCTGGAAACTTGCTTTCCAATTATATTGAAAAATACCACCTTGCTGAAGGAACTAAAATATCCTCCAAACATTTGTTTATAAAAATGAAAGATAGTGAGTATGACAACTGTCAGCATTTACAAAATGAGGATAGGTTCTATTTTATGCTGCCTGGTGCACCTTAACCTTTAAAAAACTAATGAGAAAGCTGTAACAGTATCAGCAAGAGAGTTAAAATAAAAACCCAAGTTTTGATTAACCCAGAATACTCAAGTAATTCAATTATAAGGAAAAAAAAAAAAGGTGGCCTGTGTTTAGGTAATCCACATCTCAAGGCACAAGAGTAATTTTTAGGAAAGTCTGGAGTAATGAAGCTGCTTCCTTACTCTTTGGGTAAGTGGTTCTTTAGGGCGCTACGCCCACAGGGTAGGTGGAACCAGAGGGCTCCTGGGTCCCCTCTGAAGAAGCACGTTGTGTATTGCTTCTCACAAGAATAGAGCAAACAGCTTTTATGATGAATACTTGCTGCCTGGCATGGTCCCTCCACATTTGCAGAGAGCACCTTCATTTACTGGCTGACTCCAAAACTACAGAAAAGCCAGTGTCAAGGTGTTGGACTGCTAACAAGAGTTCAGAGAAATGCAGTCCTGTTCCACGTCCTTTCCCATAAACCCATAAAAAAAGAGGTGACAAAATGGAGTCTTACACAGGAAAGCCAGTGCAGGCAGGAGAGCAGGATAAAACCTGAACTAATAAATTACAACATTTGCTTGGGAGAAAGGTTGTACGAAATGACGGCACAACGTGCTGAGCAGTGGGGAACTTGCTAGAGGTGAACTCATTTATACTCTTGCAGAGTAGAAGACTTCTCAGTTAACAAGTCCCAAAATAGCGTGCTGCAGTGTATAAAACAAGGTAGGGCTTGAAATAATTAGCCAGAGATGACAGATGGCAACTCCTTTCTCTTTTTTTCCTTCTCTTCTGTTGCTGTAATATCAAGGTGATCAAAGAGCTGAGGATCATTTGTTATTGTAGGAAAACTAAAAATATCTTGAAATATTCAGGCAAAATAAGTTCATTCAGGTACCAGCAGTAGCTCTCACTGTTCCTGTTCAACACCTTATACGTGAGTCTGTGTAGTAAGTTTCCCTCAGATTCAGAATCACATGTGCACAGATGAGAATCTGGGTGTGCCCAGGCTTAGGAGTATTATAGAGTCAATTTATTAAATAAAATTATTAATTTATTTACTTTAATTGTTTGCTTGTGCTAACGAACCAGTGATCTATTCTACTGCCCAAAAGCCTTCAGAAAAGTCCCCAGAGTTCACCTCTCTGCCACGTTCCTTGAGTAATGTCATACAACTGTGTGTGAGGGGAACCAAATGATAAAGAACAGAGACTGTGGTAAAACTGACTGCATCAATAACTGTTAAAGGTGTCTGAAAGGTCGGTGCTGCATCTCACTCTAGGCAAGAATATTATTATTTCCTATGCTCTGGCAAGCATGGGCATTTTTTAAAGGCAAGCACTTGTGGACTCAAGTTAGAGATACAACAGAAGCTTCTATCTTGTAGGACTTCTGTCACAAAAGAGGATTAGAAGGCAACTGTGACCAGACGTAATTAAAATGAAAATTCAGTAATTTACTCAAATAACATAATATACACTGCTTATAAAGGAAAAAAAACAGTAGCAACTACAGTTCCTCTCCCAGTCCCAATCCCAGTAGCAACTCTGTCTGACTGGTCCTAGAGCCCAAAAGTATATTTTATTTTTACAACTGCTTAGTGTAGCTTTTCTGATGGAAGTGTCAAGCGAACACACCAAAATGAGCCCCTTAAGCCAGACAAAGATGAATTTCAAATTAGAGGAAAGAGAAAAGGATTGGGAAAGGAAGGAAATAGTTAAGGTGAGAGCAGAGATTATAACCTCTGTCCATCAACCTGTGTCTGGATGCTTTATACCAAATGAAACAGGAAAAAAACTCTTTTCCTTCTGCCAAAGCACATTTCTCTAGTATTCCCCTACTGCACTTCCAACCTCAGCCCTTTAATAGAAAGACTAAGATCTATTTCAGCTTGCTGCTGGGCAGTGGGCTTCACCCGTACTCATTATGTTCCCATTACAAATAAACAGCACAATTCAGGAGGAACGACATTTCTGCTCCAGCACAGCTTGATCCAGATGAATCAGGGAGGTAAACAGACAGAAACAAAAGTGAGAAAGGTTTAATAACACAATTAAAATATCACTTTATAAGCTTGTGAGCTGATGCGGTAGGCTGCTTTCAGTAATTTCCAGAGGGAGTGCTTATCCATGACTACAAACCAAAGCAATCTAGAAGCTGGCCACTCAAAGCTGTAAGGAGCGATACTGCAACCAAAGGCAGCTTGCTCAATCACCTGGAGAGCTCTCTTTGGCTTCTAAATCATAAATTGAAGTCTACCTCTAATTTTGTTCCATCAATTTCTCAATACCTCACTCTTTATTTTTTTTCTCCTTTCTTATCACTTCTTGGTAGTCTGGAATCCCTAGTGAGATGCAATGCAGACTGGTAGGACTCTGCCAGACATTAAAAAGCAGTCAACAACTGTTCAACAACTTCAAATCACTTTCTGTCTGGGGCAGCCCCCCCGATAGCCTGTGAAAGCAAGAACATATTTGTTGTAGTCTTTTCTGCTGCTTTTCTTATCCTTTCATACCCTGCAACTTCACACTGTAACTCGCCATTTCTGTCAGCCAAATATTTTATGCAAACATATTGGCCTCTGGAAAACCAGAAAATGGTGGCTCTTACAGAGGTGAACCTTCTTCAAGTGTTATGTGAAGGGCAGAGAAAATGCTGTCTGAAGTTTGCCATGGCAGAAGTCACCTCCCTTCTCTCCCAGCTTAACCAGCTGACTTACTTCAGATGTGCTCCAGAGCACTAGGGAGCATTTGGACAATGCAGACAATTTGGAGTAGGGCATGAATATGAACAGAGTCCTTTATTATTGTAAGAAAATAAATATACGTTTTCTATCTCTAAAGAATGAGTCAGAAAACTCGTTCTTCCTGGAATTGCATGCCTGTTTTTTTCTCTTCCATACATATTTTCCACCTGTCCATCCCTTCATTTTCTAGCAACACAGAGAAACAAATTGAACAGGAGCAGTCCTTATTCAGACTTCTGTAGGATCACTCATTGAACCTAAAAGTTTGCATTCAAGCCACTGATGCCAACACTCTACCAGTCAGAGTTGAAAAAAATCCGTTTCCACAGACTTTAGGGAGAGCCTAACAGAGGCAGTAGTAGGTAGCTTGGAAGAAGGCAGAGATTGTGGTAACTACTTCTGCTGCTTCCACTGTTTCCCTCTGCTTTAGTCACCTTTGAATTTGATCACAGACTGTTTCGCTGTGCATTGCACTAAT